TTCTTTTCTAAATATTAATATTTAGAATGATTTCTCTACATTAATGTAAATTTGATATGATCACTATTTTTCCTTTTTACAAGATCCGCTTCTTATGATTTCTTAACACTTAGGCTTCATAAGATTCACATTTTTTCATATTTTTAAATAAAATTACATTTAAAAGACTAAAAGAGGGAACTAAGAAAAATAGAATAAAAAAGAAAAGATTTTATATATATATATATATATATCTTACATTTGTCAATACTCTAATGAAACTCTCACTTATTCATACTTCTCCTCTCTTTTTTTCGACGTTTAATTTAGATTCTGATTGATTTGAATTTGTGTTGAGATTTTTTGTTTGAAGAAAACAATTTTTATTAAAGATGATTCAATTTTTAAAATTCAAATACAAAACATATGATTAAGAATAAAAGAATATTTATCACTCCGATAATCATACTTATCCATTTGAACACTAACAAAAACAATCAAAGTGTGACACATGCCAACTATGGTGCAAAATTCCCTTTCACTTTGGGTGGTTAAGATGTGACCTTTTATTTTAGTAACTTTAAATTGGAGAATGATTTAGCTTATTACCAAAAAAGACTCGTAACTTTCAATTGTGTCATCAAGAAAATGTGTCAAATTCAAGAATATGACAATTGATAACAAAGTCCTATTGTAGTTAAACCATCCAATGCACTCTTTCTTTTGAAAAGAATAGAGTACAAATTCACTAGTTCAACTATTTAATATTCGAAAATCACTAGTTCGATTAATTAAAACATTCAAAAATTACTAGTTGAATTCGAGACTTCTAATTAAGGGTGAAGGAAAAACTTATTATTTTTACATGTTCATCGTCTTATCTAGGATTTTTTTTAGAAAATAATATAAGTGATATTGTGTACTCAAAACTTATTGGCCTGATTAATTTAAATTTGAGATGGTTCATTTTAAAAGCAATCAAAATAATTATTACATATATTACAATGAAATGATAAGATTTTTTTTTATTTTTAAATTAAATATTTTAGATTTATATTTGAAAACGTAATCACTTCCGATAGAATGTACTTTAAAACCCTTCAAACTTTATGGAAATTATTTTATACGAATTTAAATTAATTGTTCCACAAAACAAATAACAAGCACTATGTTGGAAACCAAAAAGAGAAACATATAATTAGTTCATAA